TGAGAGAGAAACATTGATCAGCTGCCTCCTGCACGCCCCCCACTGGGGATGTGCCCGCAACCAAGGTACATGCCCTTGACCGGAATCGAACCCGGGACCCTTCAGTCTGCAGGCCGACGCTCTATCCACTGAGCCAAACCGGTCAGGCTTGGTGAGTGTTTTTAAATGGAAGATCCTATGCACTGGACTTAGCAAACAAAAGCCAGGAGGTAAAAAGGAAAAAAGACAAAGATACTGTGCCAACTCGCATCTTATTTCCCCTGCCACTGTGCAGCCAGTATAGAACTTCAGGCTGCCTTTCTGGGCACAGATTCTCACGGCACAGCTGTGGGCTTATATCTAGCATCCCCCTCTGTCAGCAGCCCTGTGGACCCCCTTCCACAAACCACTGCCCCCAGGGCTGTGGTTTTGGTGGAGCGCAGTCTCCCTCTGAGACTCTAGATCCCGATGCACGTGTTTCTCCCTCCAGCCTGAATCCCAGATCTCACCTTTCTTATCTCTGACCTTTTTCTCCATGGATTGCCTCACCAGCTGTGTTTAATTCGCCAATTCCATGTGGATGTTATTTGATTCAGCTGCTCCTTCTATCTCCTCTGTGAGAAGGTGCAGGGCCTGTCTGTGTATTCAGCACCACTTTGTATCCCACTGGACAGGCTTTTTAGGTGCCTGCGGTTGGGGAGGGTGGAGTCTCAGTGTCCGTGGGTTCGCAGCTGAGGCAGCTGGTCCCTGAGCATTGTGGTTGTAGGGTCCTGGGAGGTATCCGAGGTCTCCCCAGTTTAAGTTAAGGCTGGGCTTCCAATCACAGCCGGTCTCCCCTTAAAGATGGTGTGGTCTCTGTGGCTGAGCTGTGGCTCCGGGAGAGTGTTCAGCAGTAGTAGAGGCTGCCTGGCCAGGGTAGCCTGGTCCACCAGTCCCCAACAGTCCTATGGAATATAGCTGTCCCTCACTCACAAATACAGACACTCCCCACACATTCACATACTCTGCTTTCATTCTCTCACACACACACTATCTTGCAGCCTGCTGTCCCATTAGCAGCCATCTTGGATCCCTCACTTATTTGGCCTACCGCCCCCTTTCCAGAAAAAATATTACTCAGCGCCCCCTGGAAATTAATTTTTTTTAAATTTTAATAGCAATTAAACAGAAAGATATATGTATTAATGTTTCTACCTTTTTCGTAAAATATAGTAAAGAAAGGTGTAAATTAGAAACATTGAAGTTTGAAATTATGAAACTATTTATTGAACTCAGAATAGAAAGGTAATACAAAAAAAGTTAAAACAAATGCACCTGTGGCCATCACCGGCCCCCTGGATCGCTGCAGCGCCCACCAGGGGGCGGTAGGGCCCACTTTGGGAATCACGGATCTATACAGTGGGATACTGCACTGCCATAAAAAATAAGGAATTCTTACCATTTGCAACAGCATGATGGAACTGGAGAGCATTTTACTAAGCAAAATAAGCCAGTCATAGAAAGAGAAATGTCACATGATCTCACTCATTTGTGGAATATAAGGAACATAAACTGATGAACAAAAATAAATCCAGAGACATAGAAGAATTGAACAGACCATATAACCTCAGAGGGAAGGCAGGGGAGGGGGTAAGAGATCAACCAAAGGACTTGTATGCCTACATATAAGAACAACCCATGGACACAGACAGTAGCGGGGTGAAGGCATGTGCTGGGGAGTGGGAGCAGTCGGGGAGAGGTCAGTGGGCGAGAAAGGAGACATATGTAATACTTTAAACAATAAAGAATTTAAATTTAAAAAAAGAACAACAACAACAAAAAGAACATATATTCATTTAATGAACATATATTCATTCAATGTATAGGTTGATTATCTGTTAATTGTACTTCTTTTTTGTTTGTTTGTTTGTTTTTGTTTTTTTGTTTTGTTTTGTTTTTTGAGGGCCAAAACTCCTACCTTCAAAGATCAATTCTCAAACACTTGAGAAGTGCTTTGAGTTTCTCTAGGAAGGGAATATCAGTATTACATCCTTCCAAATAGCCAATAGATTATATTTTACTCATCCCTTTGAAAAATGCCAGTCTTTATATTTTCTAATTCTTGTTTAAGATGAGAAAATGTTCTGGCCTTTCTGTATGTTTTCAATGTTCACTTTCTATTCCTCAACATACCAGAAACTAGAGAGATTAAACATTCAGAATAAGTTCTGAATAAGACCACATATATGGTACCTATAATAAATGACTAACTTTACATACAGAATATGTCTTTTGATGCTTTAAAAGTCAATTACAAAGTCATTAATTTTAATCTGAGAAGTTTGGAATTAGGTGAAACATAGTAACGGCCCCTTAAGTCTCTAATATTTTAAGGACAGAGAAAGCCTGAGAGAGAAAAAGGCTCAGCTAAGTCTGTTTTAGCAACACAGACACACACACACACACACACACACACCAATCAGAAAAGTTTTCTTTTCCTGTTCCACAAAAAGAAGTCTGGCCCTGGCTAGTGTGGCTCAGTTGGCTGATCATTATCCAGTGCACCAAAAGATTGCCAGTTAGATTCCTGGTCAGGGTTGTGCCCACATTGTGGGTTCGAACCCTGGTTGGGGCACATGCAAGAGAATCAATGTTTCTCTCTCACATTGATGTTTCTCTATCTCTCTCACTCCCTCTCCCTTCCTCTCTTTCTAAAAAAATTAATAAAAACATAATAAAAATCTTTATTTTAAAAAATAGGTCTGATTGTTTTTCTTTGGAATTTCATGGTACATATTTTATGGTTTTCAAGAGTAACAACTAGAAAAACAAATTTAACTTGGAATTGTACATGAACTTTGACTGGTTTTTCAAAGTAGGTATGAATAAGTGAAATGAAAAAAACAAAGGAACTTTGTTATAAATTTTGAATTTTATATTATTTGTATTTTAACTTTTTTAAATTTTGTATTTATTAATTTAAGAGAGGGGGAGGGAAAGAGAGAGGAGGATAAAGAAAGAGAGAGAAAAACATTGATTTTTGTTGTTCCATTTATTTACTATGCACTCATTGATTGATTTTTGTATGTGCCCTGACCAGGGATCGAACTCACAACCTTGGTATATTGGGATGACACTCTAAAGAACTGAGTAAACCAGCCAGGGCCTTGTATTTAAGTTTTGACTCTGTAATATACAGTAGTATGCTAGAGTCATCTGGCTTAGCCAATTGTACCTATCTTTTTCCAACTCCACATTCATATGGCCATGAGGGTAGTATTTACACCATGGAAATTGAGAAACACTGCTAATCAAGGATTCCTCCTTCCCCTACCCCAACCTAACAGCCAGCTGTTAACATTTACCACTACCCCACCCCCCAAATGTGCCTATTTAATTTTCATTTTACAATCAAATAATAGCTTTATGTTTCTTTTTTTTTTAATATATTTTATTGATTTTTTACAGAGAGGAAGGGAGAGAGAGAGTTAGAAACATCGATCAGCTGCCTCCTGCACATCTCCTACTGGGGATGTGCCTGCAACCCAGGTACATGCCCTTGACCGGAATCGAACCTGGGACCTTTCAGTCCACAGGCCGACGCTCTATCCACTGAGCCAAACCGGTTTCAGCAAGCTTTATGTTTCTTTAAAGATAGAGAAATGACGTAGAATGGTGGTTAAGAGCAGATACCAGTTGTGCACTTACTAGCATGTGTTATTCTAGGCAAGTTCGGCAATTCTATCTTTAACTAGTGGCCCAGTGCACAAAATTCATGCACATTAAAAGGGAATTAATTAGAGGAAATATTTTAATATTGCTATTTGCCCTTTCTCTATAATAGAAGTGTCAGAGAAAGAAAATT